ACAGCCTTTTGAAGGATTTCTGGATTGTGATTCACTTCTACAGACCAGTAAAGGCTGTTTAAGACTAATAACACAATCTTGCCACCTTAAAAGAAGCAAATGAGGGCTAAAAATTATATCTCATTTAGCACCTACTCTATATATAAGATTGTGAACAGCTAGTTCTACTAAGATTTTGATAACATATTTGAAATTCAAGGGAGGTCAAATTCCTAGGTGTCCACTTCTTTAAGTACCACCTTCAGAGGAAGGGTTGGGAATACTTAGGACAATTTTTTTTCCAAATTGTTATGCCTTGTTCCAGGGTTCATGGCTCCACCCTTATGTCTGTTTTTCTTTTTTTTTCTTTCTCAGCTAGGATCTAAGAGACTTTTACTCTTAAAGTAACGTTATGGATCAACAAATAGACACTTTCATGGACACTTAATGATTAAACTAGTTTTACTAACACTACTCCATGGAATCTGACCAACGACAGAGCACCTCCCCATAGGTCTATTACAGAAAGTATCTCCTACCCCAGACATTATCAGCTTGTCTATAATAAGGTTGAAGTGGTCAGGGGGGGAGGGGAGAGGGGGATCATGAGGCTAGGGGGCTAAAGGTCAGAGGTGAGTGGTGAATAACACTTGACAAAAAAAAGGTAAAAAATCACCTGCAATGCTGGCATTGTAGTATCCTCCCTTTAAAAAACTCTCTTCTAAAACAGTCCTTGTAGTTGGCTTTGTCATGTCATTGGGGCATGAGGAGCACAAAATCAATGGAGCCCAAGAAGTCAAAAGCTCTTTATACCAGTCACTGGAGTTTGGTAAAACATAATGTCCAGGCAGATCATTATTCCCAACCACTGGGAAGATGGGAATATCTGGAAATCTTGAATGTGCCTTGTTACTAACTTCAGCAATGTTGTCCAAAACTTTATGTGGACCAGCATAAGATGTCCACATGCCATGACCTGACAAGTCACCTGAATAAACAAGATAAGGAGCCAGACTTGTTTGATTAATCCACTATTTTTAACTGATGACTTAAATAGCTAAGACTAGATATACTTCAAAGTTTCATTGCATTACAGGGTGCACCATTATGCACACAGAGGGGAGAAATATATAGGATTAAAGGGAGACTGGGAAATTGCCAAAAGAATTCTCTCATCCCAAAGAGAAAACTGCAAAAAATAATTGGAACAAGTTTTCTCTAATATCATGATAATTTTTATGTTTAACAGAGATATCCTGGCATAATCTCACAGAAACAAAAAAGTAAAGAAAACTTATTTTTTGATTGGAATATTTGGGGGATATCAATGATAGTCTCATTCTCTTGGTGACATATATAAAATTAAGACTCAATCAAATCTTTATTTCTTATCTTTTATCTTTATCTTTTTATTTTTAACATTGTTACCCACCTGTCAACAAAATGAAGCTAACATTCTCTATCTTGCTTACATTCTGCATGGCATCCAAGGAATTTTCCACAAGATCAATTGGTGAATCACAGCCAATCCTTCCATATTGTGCTGTGTAATTTGATGTACTATTTGCAAGTTGTGGGCGGCAAAAAGATCTTTGGGGTGTATTCTTGTCATAAAAAGGATCATAATGTATATCCGAAATGTGGACAAACTTAATAATGTTGTTATTGACAGCTTTTCCATTCTGCTTTTGTGTGCATTCTGTATTTTTATGACCACTCTCATAGGTTACAATTAATATCACGATGAGTATACTGCAGATAACAGTTAAAACTCCAATTAGGATTCTTGCTTTGATTGTCTTCTTCTTCCATCTTTTACGCTCATCCAAATCACGAGCCTCTATGCTGGTGAGACTGGAATTAGACATGTTCCGAGTGTAATTCACTGCCATGACAACTGGCTACATGAAACTCCTGTAAACATTTTAAGCATACCATTTAGATTTCTCTCGATGCCAAAAAAAAAATAACATTGTAAACAATTTTTAAGGCAGGATGCTGGAACAAAGTACAGAAAGAGGACCTTGATCTGATGAAATTTAACTGTCTCTTAGTCTCATTCGGAACAAGTCTCACAGATACTTGTCAAAATCATACCTTGAAACCTTTCCTATGGGGCAATGGAGTACCTTCCGGAAAAATTTACTGTAAGACAATTTGGTTGTTCAGGAGAAAATCCCTCAATTTCATCGTAATCTAAATCTAATTTAAGTACTCAAAGTAAAAACTTTTTTATGTGGTGAACGTGCGTGCATTCAACGTCTGCGGAAAAAGCGACGCCTTCCGGAAACCCGATCCTCGCACACATGCAGTGGAATTCCGTCGTTCCTAACGCTACGTGAACGGAAAAATTTTTATAATCAATAGAGGTAGCGACACACTGTTGAAAATAAGACTTTTCTGTTCGGAACGGGTCTGAACTTAAACAAGACATCACTACTCATTGCTAAGAACCTGTCGTAGGTATAGGTGACTAGAGACATGATCATTCTTTAAGGTCCGTTTAAACGGTTTCAACATTTGACAAACATTCGTTCAACAAAAGTTGAACGGACGTTGGGTAAATGTTGAAACCGTTTAAACGGGCCATTCAACATTTTCGAGAACAAAGGAAAAGTTGAATCGATGTTGAATGAAAGTTTAAACCGATTCAAACTTGATTCAACACGCTTTCAACATGCTTTCAACATTTTTTACGTTTTCAGCAATACTGGACGACCTGTTCAAACGCACCGAACATTTGGTTCAACAGAGTGTTGAATGCAAGTTGAAGCAAATGTTGAAACCGTTTAAACGGGCCTTTAAATGTGTTCAGAAGGCTTCCAATCGCAAGAAAGAAAACCTCGACTTTCCAATTCATACAAGAGAACATACGAAGAACATATAACGAAAGAAATTCAGAATGGTCCTACAAACTTAATCTCTGCTAAACCAGTCAACTATCGAACCCAAAAGTGTGTAAACTACGTTCCACTTATTGTACGCAAAATCGATCAGAAACCCATTGGAGTGGCAACATAGTTGTAAAATAAACATAATATACATTTCGTTACCAACTTCAATTTGTACATAAACAAACTACTGAGACTGTACGAAAGCTTACCTTTCAACAGACAAATCAACCCTGCTTCGACGTTAACTAACAGGTTCTGGGCGCGTTTCCGCTAAAGATTGCAATGATTGCATGATTTTCTATGCTCTCTGCAGCGTCATTGATATCATTAACGATAACCTTTTGACTTACCTGACGGAATTAATCAGATTAGCTAACGTAACGCAAGAACACTATTATTGTGCTATTAGCGAGTGTATGCCTAAAATTACTGTGGTATTCTCACCAGTTAGAGGTACAGATAAACATTTCCACCATCCTCTACGACAGTTCATTCGACTGACCGAAAATAAGTCACTGAGATTTGTTATAAAAGTGTCGGTGAGTGATATCTGATAGGTATTTACCGCGTGACAAATATAGTTTTACTAGTCACGCTGTCAATGTTACAGTCACTTGAAATTGCTTACAAATAAAGAGTGTTTACACGTTGTAAAAAGGAAATACAGACACGATGTTGAAGAAAAAAAATGTTTTTAAATCTCAAATCAATTTCATCTCCATATAAAACGTGTTACTTGTAATAGGAACTTATTCGAAAAAACTATATCATTTTTAACTCGCACGCTAAAATCCTCAATATTTCAGTTTAACCTCATCAAATGTTTTTACCGATATTGTCGGCATTTTGTACTTTCATACGAACGATAGACTGTTATGTTATTATTCAGGATTTTCGGTAAAAAAAAGCAAATTTATTTTGAAAACATACTTCAAGCATACGATTGTTTCTATACATATTATATGTCGATTTGCACAGAACAGTCATTATCATGACATGGCGACCTTAATTCAATTAACGCTCTGTGGGGTAAATTCAAGCAGTGTTCGTAAATTAAAATTACTTCAGATGTCAAATTCGAAGCTTCCTTGCGGTTGGAGTCCTAAAAATGGTATTTCTACAATTTGGCCATCTGCAGTAAATACGATGTCATCATGTTGTCTATGTTAGCTCTCACGGTCAGATTTTTTGACACTCTATTTAAAAAAAACGATTATAGAAAGTTTCTACCTAGACCGTTCGTAAAATCATAGTCCAACTGCGTTCAATAAGATACCTTAACCCTGAAACCCTAAGTGTGACTGGCTTCTAATTTAATTAATTTCCCATTTCAATATCACCCTTTAATCAGACGTAAAGGCCACAAGAATAAAGGAAATTATCTCCAATTTTGAAGCTCTTGATTGCCAAAAAAATTATCCATGTCAGTATCAAAGGGACATTAGAAGAGGAAGGTGTAGAGAATATGAATGCTTATGTTAGGATGGAAAGGGTAGAACAATTTTTTATACCAATTACCATCCACACCGTCAAGGTCAACATAAATGGCGCCAGTGGTAGAGTACTCTGATTACGGGAAGTTGAATTAACTCAGCCGATATAGGAACGTCTTATCACATTTGTGCTGTTGGTCAAGAGAAAAAGTCAGTGAAAATATCGAGGCACAACTCTATTGTCTTAATCGTAAAAGGGAAAAACTCTTGGCCCTCGCGCAACAATCTATCTCTTTTAGTATTTACCCAATCTATCAAATTATGTGTGAATACGACTAGTTCTTCTGCTAGATTTGTCTCTTTTTTGTCTATGTTGTAAGATAACAAGTGATAACTAAGTATTGTGTTTTCCAAACTTACCAGTAAGCACTTGGGAGTACTTTAAAAAAACTGTAACAGTAATGAAAATGGACAAATCTTCCGGTTGAAAGACATGGAAATATCATAACGGTACAGATCATTGATGAACTTATGATCTTTATTAAGATTGTTTACCTCTTAATAAAAGAAGCCACACTTTTCCCGTCAAAGATGAAAACAGCAATGCTGGCCAGATAACCCTATTCCAGCAGAGCATACAATTTAACCTTTCTTGCCCTATTCTGAACAAACCCTGAAACAGATCCCGTTTGGCCAACACAAACCACAGCAACAGCAAAAGATGAACAAAATGAGTGGGAAAAGGTAGATCATCATATGCCCCAGTCCTAAGAACGCGCGTGTCAATAGTAAAGAGCTCGTACGAGTCACACGCGAGAGTCCACGCTTAGTGGAGGAATCCTTTTTGGGAGAAAGCGAGAGTAAGTCTCTATATAATCTACCACTTTCTCAAAAACTGTTCGTTCAGCTAATGACTAGTTTGATAACAATTTTGAGCTGGCTGTCTTGAGATTATTAGAATATTTCGCTCCCAGACCCTAACTTGAGCTCGTTGCTAAAGTAACTAAATCACAGAGAGGGCTGAAAAAAGAAGAGAAAATTTCAAGAGTTTAATAGAAAACGAAATTATGATAGGATTTACAGCTGAAGTTTGTCTTCCCTCCCCGCTGGGAAATTCTCTGAACTGGCCAAATTCAGGCCGGGGGGACGGGTGAGGGAGAAAATGTCAGACGGAAAGGTTGTCTTTTTACCAGACCCTACTCGTCCAATATGGCGATCTTTCGATGATGGCTGAAAAGCTGTCAGGGTGTACTGTGCCCCCTATCATAAGCTTTATACGTAACAAAAAATGATGGAATCCTATTATATAGGTGTGGACGTTGGAACAGCTAGCGTCCGTGCTGCTCTGATTACCCACGATGGAAGAATCGTTTCATCTGCGACGAAGCCATTGCAAATCTGGCAGCCTCTAACTGATTACTACGAGCAGTCATCAGAGGATGTATGGAGAAATGTATGCTTAGTTGTTAAGGTATTTTCCAAATTTTTGTTTTGCGTTTGTGATCCTTTGGAAGTTTTTTCGCAAACACACCACGATAATCCCTGCTGGAGGGGAGGGGAGAGGTATCTTTTTATCATCGCAGGATAAGGCTAGTGGAGGACAGTGGAGGCTAGTAAAGGACAGAATGTGCCCTCCTGCAGCCCTGTCCTATGTAGTCTATCTAATATTCTATCTATCTATCTATCTATCTATCTATCGAACTAATCAACCCACTAAGGAGTATTTGAATCAGGATCAAATTTCTAGTAGGCTTTGCTTTTGTGATCATTTACTCACAGGCAGGTAGACAGACGGGAGGACAGGCAGATAGACGGACAGGTAATCATTTTATGATTGTCGTGATTCTAATCAAACATTTACCTGACTTTTGCGATTGGAGGCAACATGGCAAAGTGATTAAAAAGTTAGCTCTAACTGGTGGAGAATAGTCAGAGGCAAATTGAATGAGGTATACTGAAGTTTACTATTTGTTTAACATCATTGTATACCTTTTTGCAGGAGGTTGGTGCCAGTCTTACTGACGTGAGAATGGTGAAAGGGATAGGTTTTGATGCAACATGTTCCCTGGTGACTTTAGATTCTTCAGGAGGTCCTGTCACTTGCAGTCCTTCCAAAGAACCTCACAGAAATATTGTTATGTGGCTGGATCACCGTGCCATGGAACAGGCTAAAAGAATCAATGATACAAAACATAAAGTGTTAAAGTATGTTGGTGGAGCTACCTCACCAGAAATGGAGATTCCAAAAATGCTGTGGCTAAAGGAAAATTTACCAACAGACTGTTGGGATAAATGCGCTCTCTTTTTAGAATTACCTGAGTTTCTCACTTACAGGGCAACTGGTGATGAAACAAGGTAAGTGATACATAGATCCTTATTTGTAATGGTTAACATAAAGTTAGACAAAAATGGTCAAGAAAGCTGGAAAACAATGGCACTTTTCATGTGTTAGAGATATTAGTTAAAATCTCTTACAATTTTTCTTGGTCTCGGGTCGAAAGAAAAGTGGCAGTAATCATTCATACTTGAATATCAGAGTAAATAATAAATATATATATATATATATTATAATTATATATAAATTATATTGTTATATTAAACTATATGTTTTTATTATAAATTATACATTATATTATAAATAAATATAAAATATAAATAAATTCAAAAACAACAAACATATTTTGTTAGGTCCATGTGCTCTCTTGTGTGTAAATTTAATTACATGGGACACGGATCTCAAATACTGGAAGGTAAGTTACATTTTTGTCATTCAGAAATTTTATTTCATTCATATTTCATTCATTAAATTTAAAATTCAAATTAATGAAGAGAATTGATCCACTTAGACTTGACTCACAACCTCAAAGAAAAGTGGAGTGACCTTCAACATTCTGGATCAATGTCAGTATCCAAGCAACTGCCCATCTACCCCTCCCCTAAGCCAAAATTTATCCTTACTTGTTATCAGTTGAATGTTGGGTTGGGAGGGGTAGGTGTACAGATGCTCAGATACTGACTTATGACAGACTGGCTAACTCATGGAGTGAATTCTTTTAGATGCCCATTACAGAACTGATAATATATAGATTTAGCCAGGCCTAAAAGTGGAGCTCGCATTTTTTTCCCTGCATGTCTCAAGGGCACAACGCCTTGCCCCGGCCAGGACTAGAACCTAGGTCGTCCAACTCAGAGCCCAGTGCACTGACCACTGGACTACTGGACAAAGCTGTGGTGTTGGTTTGCCTGCAGTACAATTAAAAGTAGCACCTTGTGCGGTCGTACAGTAGTATGGTTGTACATTCAAATTTTTTCGGCTTGATGGGTTACTACTATTTTGTATAATTATGGGGCTACAGAACCCTACAGAATGTTAAAGAATTACTCCTTTAGGGAAAAAAGTTTGTGCTCAGGATGCTTAAAAAAGTTGATTTGTGGCCAGACTCTAATAGGTGACATTATACTAATGCTGATGGCAACATTATTGATGAAAAATATGTCTCAATCAACTTAATTTTTCATGGCAGGTTCAACAAGTGGATGGATTGACTCATTTTTGGAAGCAGTTGGACTCGAAGATCTTGTAAACACTAAATATTCCAAACTGGGTAGAGCTACAGCATTGAAATGTTTTTTTTATTTTTAGTTTTTGTCTTTGAATTAATTTTATGAAAACTATTTCTTTTGTTTTGTCCTGCATTGGAATTTAACAATAAAATATTTGAAAAGTTATGACAACTATTAAATTTGCTTTCTCTCTAGTATCCTGTGAGTCTGACCAGTTATTTTTATTTTTCTTACTTTTTTTGAGGGGTAAAAGTTGGTAGCCCCGGGGAACCTGTTGGTAAAGGTTTGACGAAAAATGCTGCAGCAGAACTAGGATTATGGGAAGGAATGCCTGTGGGTACTTCACTTATTGATGCACATGCTGGGGGCTTGGGTAAGAGTTTGCTTTTGATGATAAGTGTCATTGTTTTTCTAGCAATGTACTTACTGCCAATTTGAATTTCAATATTTCTTCTCAAGGTGTCATTGGAGCTGATCTAGGTTCACTTCTTACGGATGATAAACCATTGACTTCACGTCTGGCTGTCATTTGTGGAACATCATCATGTCACATGGCTGTAAGTTGATAAATTGTCATCTTGCACAATCAGTTAGTTGAGCTGTCATTTGGTCTCTCATTCACAAGTCAGCCAGTCTGTCATAAGTCAGTTTATGTGGTGGTGGGTCAGTCAGTCAGTCAATCATTCGGTCAGTCTAAGTTAGTTTATTCTTCCTTGTATCAATCAGTTGGTAAGTCAGACAGTTGTCAGTCAGTCAGCTAGTAATTAGTCATTCTCATGTCAGTCAGCTAGTCCATTAGTTTTTTTAAATAAATACTCATATCATCAGTCAGTGAGCCAGTCACTTGGTAGTCAGCCAGTCTGTCTGCAGCTACTGCAGTCAGCAGTCAGTATACTTAGTCATTGAATACCAGTTTAATTTAAGTTTGAATTGTATTTTATCAATTTTTATTGACTTAATACTTTTGTGTTGTAGATTAATGAAAAGCCAGTGTTTGTGCCAGGGGTCTGGGGCCCATACTTCTCTGCTATGGTACCAGGCCTGTGGTTGAATGAAGGAGGCCAAAGTGTGACTGGGAAACTGGTTAGAGCTGCAGTATATCATTTTATACCCATTCTGTAAATATTTTTTGAAAACAACACAGAAACACAACTAAGGGTAAACTTGTTTGTATTGTGTTTGCAAGGCTGGCTGAAATTAGTCTAGCTGTACTGATATGAGTCTTAATTGTGGTAGATTGATCATCTTATCGAGACACATGTGGCTTACACAGAGCTGAAAGAAATAGCTGAAAAGAGGTTTGTTTTATGTTTTATTTTTTACTTGGAGTTATCCAGTCTCATAACTTATAACTCCTGCATTGCTACACAAAGTGTCAACATAACTATAGAAGCATGTAAGCCTGTTATTATTTCTGCATTTTGGAACAATCTTTGCTCTGAGCTGGTCACTTTAAAGATTGAGACAGCATTTCTCCCTAGTAATAATGAAAAAAAATTCACCTAGAAATTCAATAACCTTCCATTCATATTCTTTTCTTTTCACTCTCTCAGCAATTGTTCCCTGTATGAGGAACTTAACAGACATGTGACCACCTTGGCAGAGAAGCGTCAGCTTGATAACTTGGCATTATTGTCACGCAACTTTCACCTCCTTCCAGATTTCCATGGAAACCGATCACCCATAGGAGATCCCAAAATGACAGGAATGGTACAGATAAAGACTTTCTTATATTGCCTGAGTTTTAGCCATTCCTGGTCCCTCTTGCTTATCATCTGCTTTTGTGTGAATATTGTGTCATTAGGTTGAACCTGTCGTCAAAATCAAATATAGTTTTGTTTCCCTCTGGTCATCATTTTTAAAACTTTTACTCTTAACACCTTGGTAGTTCTTAGAATGTTTGAGTTATTAGAATTCAATAATACTTTATTACCTTAAAAAATTTGTTCTGATTCCTCTATTGCTTCTTTCCTTTCTGACTCTGGACCTGAATGTTTGTAAATGTTACTTACTATCCTTTCATCTGGCGTCATTATTTTTAAATACATTTTGATAGTTTTAGATACAACCCTGTCATGTCAGTATTTACTAAGTACATCTGTTCTTTCAAGTAGATTTGTGGTTTAACTCTCACTACTGATCTAGACAACCTGGCTGTTTTGTATCTTGCTGCACTTCAGGCCCTTGCAGTAAGTATGAACAACATTAGCACAATTTCTAATGAACTGTACGGAGAATGATTCAGTATTGTTTGTCATAGTAGTTGTCATTGTCATTTTCTTTTCCTTTAATAGACCTGTTCTCCATTGTGGTAGTATTTAATTTCAAACAGACACTGAAACAGTTAAGGCAACAAAAACTTCAACAACAGTAAACATTTAGTTCCTCTGGAAGTTATCTTCCCTGGGAGGTTTTCAACAACATGTTGTCCTACTGACCTTTTGGAAAGAAAGAGTTATTGATAGAAAAATTCACCCTTTTTTCTTTCTCTATTTCTGCAGAAATTGTATGGTACTTGTTTATCACAATGCAATGTAGTAAACTGCTGCTTTCCTGTTGTTTGTTCCCACCAGCATGGAACTCGCCATATTGTAGAATGCTTGAACAAAGCAGGACATTCTATTGACACTCTGTTCCTCTGTGGTGGCCTTAGTAAGAATGAATTATTCATCCAAACACATGCTGATGTGACAGGTATGTTCATTCTTGAATGTATATTTTCTGATCTACTACTCTTCAATAGAGTCAAGAGGTAATGCTTCTGGTTGTGATCTGAGCTAGGTGATATTAGGGAAAAATTAATTGTTATCTTTTTGCATCAATTTAGTCATTAATAGAGTTATAACTAAAAATAGAGTCATTTTGTTATTTGACTTGTAGGTTTTCCTTGTATTTTACCACGTGAGAGTGAATCAGTGCTTGTTGGCGCAGCAATTCTTGGAGCATGTGCATCAGGGGATTTTTCTTCAATCCAGGTGGGTGCCTGAGCATTCCTCACTATTCACCTGACGGTGGTATGTCATATTTTGGACAATGATGTTTGAAAGAGGACAAAGCTCTCTTGCCCAACCAAAATCAAAACTAATTTTTTTTAACCAGTGTTGTAGATGGAACAATTTTGTTATGAGCTTTGTGCCAGAACGACATTGAGTTACATTGATGAATAATTCATTTACACTATACTGACATGAAATAACATTTCAAAATACTTTATGACACACTTAGGCTGTCTACAGTTCATAAAACAAACTACTCTCTTTACAGAAGATATATGTAGTAACTGAAAACAAATGTAGCTAAGTCCCTTGAATTTTCTCACTCTTCAGGGGGTTTTCTGCTTTACTATGAGTTCTTCTTGGTTTCTTGTAGGTTTTCCTTCGCTCTGATTCCTGTTTTGATTACTTTTGCTTTGGTTTCACATCAGTCAATCAAAAGGAAAATCAAGTGGGAAGGATTTAATTGTACCTTGAAACCCAGAGAGGGTTTGGTACATATCCCATTCATCAGGTCATCTTATTTATTATTTTGCTTTTGTCTAAAGGAAACTATGAAAAGCATGAATGCTGCAGGAAGAGTTGTAAAGCCACAAGAAAATTTGAAAGGGTAAGGAAAAAGTTACTCTACTCTCTGTGGGAATATTTTGGTGGCACTTGAGTATGACAAAGTTAGAGGAGCAAGAGAAATGAAAACAACTGAGCTGCTTATCAGGTTAAGAGATCCTCACCATCCTGTAGCTTATTATGAATGAACAAAATAGGAAAGGAACACATGCATGGAATAGATTGACTTATGGATAACTATGTGATACAAGATCAAGTCTAAATGGGGAGATGTTGAATTAAATTATTTTGAAATGTAGGGAGAGGAACAAATTAGTTTGAAAAACAGGGAAATTCACCTGGAAAAGAACGATGGTTTGAGTCACAACAAAATGATCTCAATCTTCTTTCCTACTTGAGGGCTTGACAACCAAACACTCAGCTTAGACATGATATATGGTTGAGGAAATAGGCTCTGCCATGAAACATTCCAAACAATAAAGAAACAGAGAAATGCTTCAGGCTCCTAAAACTTGTGTTCCTTGTTTGTCTCATTTCAGGTTTTACAACAAAAAGCACCAAGTTTTTTTACAGATGTTGAAGATCCAAATGGACTTTAGAGAATTAATGCAGGATTAAAGTTTTCATTGTGCACCTGTGCAAGACTTGTTAACTTTAAAGAAATGCCCTGAAGACTGACTTCCTGCATGAACACCTTCAATAGGCCACTCAGAATATTGAAATGGTAGAATAGTGTCAATAAGTTAGAAAACAAGGGTTAGGTCCTGGACTCAAAATGCTCATCAACAAAATGTTACTCTTACAGTATTCTTATGATTATGTCTGATTAAAAAGGTATATTAAAAAGAAAGAACTTGACTGGTTCTCAGTTGTATGCAGGTTTCAAAGCGACATCTCTTTTATGGACCGGAAAAAATTCCCTCTGGGTATTGGAAAAGTTGAAATGGGTCAATAAGCTTTTGTTTCAATAATCTCTCGGCAATAAAGAGGATTTTTTTGAGAATTACTAGTTCGTCAGAAAGATGGCGTTTATCTGTGTGTTTTGTATAAGTTTCAAAGCCACACCTCTTCCTCAGGCCAAGTAAATCCCCTCTGAATATTGAAATGATATAATTTTGTTAATGAGCTTAAAACCTCACATTAACTTATTGCCCTGACATTTACCAAAAGTTCATTGACAAAATTGTTTTGTTTCAATATTCATGTGTATATATCTCGGCCATAAAGAGGATTTGCTTAAGAATTACTAGTTTGTTAGAGAGAGATGGTCATTGGCTGTGTGTTTTATGCAAATTCCAAGCCACACCTTTTCCTTGGGCCGAGAAAATCCCCTCTGAATATTAAACAATAGAAATTTGTTAATGAGCAAAATACCTCACTTAAGCTTGTTGTCCTGACAGTTTGCAGAAAGCTCATTAACAAAATTCCTTTGTTTCAAATTCATGCGTATATATATCGGCAATAAAGGTTTGCGAAAGAATTATTAGTTTTTTAGAGAGATGGCACATGGCTGTGTTTTTTGTGAGTTTCGAAGCCGCACCTTTTTCTTGGGCCCAAGAAAATCCCCTCTGAATATAGAATTTTGTTTATGAGCTAAAAACCTCGCTCTAGCTTGTTGTTCTAACAGTTTGCAGAAAACTCATTAACAACATTCTTTTGTTTCAATATTCATGCGCGTATATCTCGGCAATAAAGAGAATTTGCAGAACAATTATAAAATTGTTTGAAAGAGGATGATTAGCTGTGTATTCTGTATGAGTTTCGAAGCCACACCTTTTTTTTGAGCGGAGAAAATCCCCTCTGAATATTGAAACAATCGAATTTTGTTAATGAGCTAAACATCTCGGTTTAGCTCGTGGTCCTAACTGTTTGCCAAAAGCTCATTATCAAAATTCTTTTGTTTCAATATTCTTGCGTATATATCTCGACAATAAAAAAGATTTGCGAAAGAATTATTAGTTTTTTGGAGAGATGGCATTTGGCTGTGTATTTTGTGTGAGTTTCCAAGCCACACCTCTTTCTTGGACCGAGAAAACCCCCTCTGAATATTAAAACAATAGAATTTGGTAAATGAGCAAAAGACCCCATTTGAGTTTGTAATCCTGACAGTTTCCAGAAAGCTCATTAACAAAAATATTTTGTTTCAGTATTCATGATTAAATATTTTGGCAATAAAGAGGATTTGTGGAACAATTATTAATCGGTTAGAAACATAGTGATTAGCTGTGTATTCTGTATGAGTTTAAAAGCCACATCTCCTGTTTGAGCCGAGAAATCCCCTCTGAATGTTGAAACAATAGAACTTTCTTAATGAGCTAAAAGTCTCGGTTTAGCTCGTCGTCCAGACAGTTTACCAAAAGCTCATTCAAAAAATTCTTTTGTTCCAATATTCATGCGTATATATCTCGGCAATGAAGACGATTTGTGAAAGAATTATAAGTTTGTATAAGAGATGGAATTTGGCTGTGTATTTTGTGTGAGTTTCCAAGCCACACCCTTTTTTGGGGCCAAGAAAATCCCCTCTGAATATTAAAACAATAGAATTTTGTTAATGAGCTAAAGACCCCGTTTTAGTTTGTAATCCTGACAGTTTGCAGAAAGCTCATTAACAAAATTCTTCTGTTTAACTATTAATATCTCGACAATAAAGAAGGTTTGCAAAAGAATTATTATTTTTTAAGAGAGATGGCATTAGGTTGTGTTTTGTGTGAGTTTCCAAGCCACACCTTTTTCGTTGGCGGAGAAATCCCCTCTGAATATAGAAACAATCGAGTTTTTTGAATGAGCTAAAAACCTCTCTTTAACTTGTTTTCCTGACAGTTTGCAGAAAGCTCATTAACAACATTTTTTTGTTTCAATATTCATGCGTATGTATCTCGGCAATAAAGGGAGTTTGCAGAACAATTATAAAATTGTTTGAAAGGCTGATGAACAATTATTAAATATATTAATTATTTAATTATTAATTATTAATTTAATTATTAAATATATATTTTAAGCTATTAAATATATATACTGAATATTAAAACAATAGAATTGTGTTAATGAGCTAAAGACCCTGTTTTAGTTTGTAATCCTGACAGTTTGCAGAAAGCTTATTAACAAAATTATTTTGTTTCAATATTCATGATTAAATATCTCGGCAATAAAGAGGATTTGCCGAACAATTATAAATTGGTTAGAGAGAGGGTGATTACCTGTATATTCTGTATGAGTTTCAAAGCTACACCTTCTTATTTGGGCCGAGAAAATCCCCTCTGAATATTGAAACAGTAGAATTTTTTTAATGAGTGAGAAAACTCGGCTTCGCACGTTTTCCTGACAGTTTACGGAGAGCTCATGAACACAATTCTTCTGTTTCAATTTCCATGCGTATATTTCACGGCAATAAAGAGGCCTACGGAAGAATTACTTGTTCGTTAGAAAGAGGGTAATTAGCTGTGTATTTAGAATGAGTTCCAAAGACACACCTCTTTCTTGAGCCGAAAAAATCCCCTCTGAATATTGCAACAATAGAATCTTTGAAAATGAGCTAAAAACCTATGTTTAGCTTGTGCTTCTGACAGTTTGCCAAAGGTTTATTAACAAAATGCTTTTGTTTTGATATCCATGCGTATATATCTGGGCAAATAAGAGGATTTGCGGAAGAATTAATACTTCGTTAGAAAGAGGGTTATCAGCTGTAAATTCTGTACGAGTTTCGAGGCCACACCTCTTTTTTTGACCAAGAGAATCCCCTCCGAATATTGAAACAATAGAATTTTGTTAATGAGCTAAAAAAATTGGTTTAGCTCAGTAACATAGTTTAACGAAATAGATTACCGGATAGTTTACCTAAACTCATTAACAAAATTATTTCAATATTCATGCGTATATATCTCGGCGATAAAGACAATTTGCAGAAGTATTGTTAGTACGTTAAAGAGAGAGTAATAAGCTGAGATAGTTAGAAAGAAGGTGATTAGCTGTGTATTCTGTATGAATTTCAAAGCGACACCTCTCTTTTTGGCCGAGAAAATTCCCTTGAATATTGAAACAATAGAATTTTGTTGATGAGTTTCAATAACTCGGTTTGGCTCATTGTCCTGACAGTTTGCCGAAAGCTCATTGACAAAATTCTTTTGTTTTAATATCTATGCCTATATATCTCGCCAACAAAGACGATTTGCGGAAGGATTATTAGTTCGTTAAATAGAGGGCCATAAGATGTGTTCTTTTGTGCGAGTTTCAAAGCCACAATTATTTTGTGGGCCAAGAAAATCTCCTTTAAATATCGAGACAATAGAATTTTGATAATGAGCTAGAAAACTCGGTTTGATTCATGGTCCTGGCAGTTAGCAGAAAGCTCATCAGCAAAATGCTCTTGTATCAATATTCATGCATTTAAAAATCAGCAATAAAGAGGAGCCGCAAAATAACTGAGCTTAGGAACAAAATTCTTTATTTTTTTAATTACCACGCTAAAAGAGAAGATTTTCGGGTGCTGGTAGGAGCTTCATTAGTTGGCCATCGAGCCTTAGTTCGGCTCGAAGGTTGTAGCAAAAGAGTCACTGATGATGAGCTGACTACTTTTTTGGAAGAACAGCACAATCTCTCTTTAAAGTAGAATAATTGGGAACGGAATATTGATAGGTTTAGCAATAGAGGGGAAAATCAATAAAAGGGACTCTGTCATTCTTTTAATTTTAGAAAAACTTTTATTTACTAGAAGAAGGCTTCTTAGAGGAAGCCTACTTACGTTGCTTATGTACGTGACACTTGTTTAAAATTTAGAGTAAAACCAAATTTAGTGCTTAAATAAACAAAATACGACGGATAATTTACCGTTGCTCATAGTAACCTGATAATGGTTTTTAAGGCTCAACTAAGTAGAAAAAGAAGACGTTTTCTTTGCGAGGATGATGGCTATTGTAAACGACTATGAAAATAACCCTAAATCACTAACTATTATATGCAAGTGTTAATATTAGGCCGTAAAAATTAGCTGCTGCCAGCTGTGACCTAAACAACGATAGGTTACCTATTGAACTAATCAAACAACTGAAGCCTTTAGACAGAGAAAGCTGGGCTCTAATGTGCAATGCCGACCAATATCTCCCTTCCCCTCCTCGAAAGGTTTCCTGTTACTCTCAGGAAGTGAACAGCCTTTAATATAAGTGTGCATGAGGTATCAACGGTTTTCTTTTAATCAGTTTTTAGCGACGTTTGGTTCTACCGAATCCTGCAAAAGAAATTGACCCCAATAAATTACGGTATTTTTCACACAATATTTATTCTACGTCGTGGTATTGTCAGTGTGACACACCAAAAAGTGTTCGGTCCACCTCTTATGGGTGGCTCACTGACCAATAATATCTTTTAATCCCTACAGAGGATTTCTCCCAGAGAACAGAGCTGAAAATCTTAACAAATGGAATTCTGTGGTACATTCAGTACAACAGAACAGGACTTACTGTCACGTTACGATGACGAATCCAAAAGAAAATTTATATTTATGATTACGACTCAGTACTCAATGCATCAAAAAATGTTTGCCACCACAATTCACAGAAACTCTTTACATTGTCTGTTTCGCGGCAAGTTGCAAGTCAAAATAAATAGTCTGAAACACAGCAGGAGTTTAGTTCAGCTCACGCTCACCTGAGGAGGTCCGAGAGCTTGGAGAGGAACTTCCTCTGTAATTGTTGCCTGAGGTCCAACCTGAGGAGCGTCCTGAAGACCAGCTGTTGTTGGACCCAAACCAGCCTGATCCTCCACCAAAACCGTACCCAGGTCCTCGCTGATGGTATCTCGGACCATAGTAATCATAGTGATCATAGTAAGTATTGCGACGGCTGTTTATGAGAAAAAAAAATTAGGATGGCACATTACACCAGTAATTATGGTGACCATAGAAAAGATTGTGACGGTTTGTACAGTAACGATAAAAAAAGTTGTCTATATCATCGTCACTCATAACGTTAATATGACCGCGAACAACAATACTTTTCTAGATGGTGATTTCTATCATCACCGTTATCATTTGGTTGTCAACCAATCACAACCGTTATCAACACTGTTTCTGTTTTCATTACTGTTATCGTTATCGTTGTCTTATCGTTGACGTCACTGTTATCGTTATTGTTACTTTTACCGTTATCGTTATCGTTATTCTTATGGTTGGTATTTTGGTTAGATATACAGTACGCTGTCGTTACCGATCTCAGTTGCGTTACCATAAGCGAACTTCATCAAAGCCGTTTTTGCAAGAAAACTAGCAATTGGAAGGAAAATACAATTACTTCTGGTGCGCTTTCCACGTAAGTCAATCAACTGAAAGGCATCTTTTATCGCATTTCAACGGTCAAAAGGTTTGTCGCAAGCCCCCAAGGTTATAAAAACTCTCTTTCTGGTTGTTATCTACGTTTAAAAGATGCACATGCTTATTACTCTCTTTATCATTTAAGCGTTTTTTAAGCTCTTACCCTGAGCCTCCAAACAGATATCCCAAAAGTCCCCCAGTGGCGGCACCTACATTGCATCAGCAAATAAGGAAAAATGTTATGATTTATCTTCTCAATCAACTTGAACACCTAATAACAACAATAGGAGCGATACATGTATCCTGATCCACAGACGAGAAAAAGTCTCAGTTCTTGTTGATTTGAACAAAATTTTGAAACTCAAGAATAGCTGGTTCATAAATCACTTTCTTCACCATTTC